GTATTTATATTTAAAGGGCATTTCTTATAACCAACACCTTAGTTGGTCTTGCCTTTTTTCCAATCTGGCAATCTCTGCCATTTACTTGGAATGTTTAGTTCATTTACTACATTTAATATAATTATTGATATTGTTGGATTAAATCTATCACCTTGGCATATAATTTCTATTGTCATTATCTGTTCTTTGTTCTTCCTTTTATCTCTTCTATTTTTTGGACTCCATTTATCCCCTCTATTGAATTTTTGGTTATGTTCTGTGTTATTTTTAGTGGGTGCTCTCAAGATAACAATATGCATCTATAATTTATCAGTCTATTTTCAATATTTTATTATTTAAAAACAATGTAAGAACCTTACATTAGTATAATTTAGTTTACTCCATCCCACACATTGTCCTTGTGTGGTCATACATTTTATTTCTACATTATAGATCCTGCAACATATTGCTCTAGGCAGTCATTTTTAAGAGAAATTCACACTTACTCATATATTAGCCTTACTTGTGCTCTTCATTTCTTACTCTAGATCGGAGCTTCTACCTGGTACATTTCTCTTCAGCCTGAAGACTCCCTTCCACATTTCTTGCATTGCACCTCTACTGGTGCACTTTTATTTATCGGGAAATGCCATTATATTATCTTCATGTTTGAGAGACATTTTCACGGGCTATAAAATTTTAGGTTGACATTTTTCCTTTCAACATTTAAAGATATTTTCTCATTGTCATTGAGATCCAGTGCTTCTGATGAAGAGTCACTCACCACCCTTTTTGCTGCTTGCTGTATGTGATGTGCCTTGTTTCTCTATCAGCTTTTTCTCTTTACCACTGGTTTTTAGCAGTTTAATTACAATGTATCTAAGTGTTTTGTTTTGTTTTTGCATTTATCCTCTTCTGCATTTGATGAGCTTCCCGGATCTCAGGGTTGCTATTTTTTAACAAATTGAAAATTTTTCCAATAATGTTTCTTTAAATACTTGTATTCTGTCCTATTTTCTCACTTCTCTCCATCTGGGAATCCAGTCACACATACGTTTAACTGCTTGATACTCCCACGGGTTCTCGCGGCTTTGTTCATTTTTCGCCCCACTCTTTTTTCTCTCTGTGTTCCATTTGTTCGATTTCTTTTGAAATGTCTTCAAACTGATGTATCTTTTCCATTCTTGTGTCCAATCTATATTAATCCCATCCAGTACATTTTTTTTAAATTGCAAATATTGTATATTTTAGTACTACGATTTCCATTTTCTTTTTTTTTACAGTTTCCAAGTATTTCCTGAAATTCTCCATCTTTCCAACCGATTCATCTATATTTACTTATAGATTACTTATGTTTATCATAGTTTTAAAAAAGTCTTTGCCTGATAATTCCAAACCTGGGTAGTCTGAGTCTGTTTCTACTTAATTTTTTTCTCTTGTTTATGGGTTGATAACCTGGTGCCTTTGTACAGCTTGTAATTTTTGAACTTTATGCCAGAGATTTTGTTTAAAGTAGATTTTTTAAAAGAAGAAATGCTTTTGCCTCTGTTAGGCAGATAAGGTAAAGGGTTTATCAGTTTAATGAATTTAGAAATAGAGGTAAATTGGTATGGGTTGAGGCTTTACTCTAGCAGAGCCCTGGAAATCAAGCTCCAGGAGGCTAATGAGATACCTCTCCATTTTCCAGCTCGGCCCCGACCCCCTCGGCCACCAGGGAGAGCTGATACAATTCGAATTGGGTGGGGTGTGGTCCAGCTTTGGTTAATTTCAATTTACCAAAGGTGGTTTCAGATGCTCTGATGGTGAGGTCACAGGCCTCCACCCAGGGGAGCCTGGTACCAATCACCACTAGACTTCAAAACTGAGAGATGCTCAAACTATGATCTGAAGTTTTAAGACTGTGACCATGCGAGTTGCAGATTATAACACTTTGAAACTGTGACTATGAGATTTTGAGATCTTCTTTTGCTTTCTGTCCCCATTTCTCAGTCTCCACTTACTCAGCAGACTTGCCTGCAAGAGAATGCTTAGGATTAGTAAAGAGGATTATCCTTACTGTTCAAGGCTCTCTTAGATTCTTGTCTGATGAATCAGCCAGGAGGTTTCTTGAGTTCACTTTCTCATCTGAGCATAGCTGGTCCCCTGGCAGCTTGCTCCTCCGTCCACGCTCCCTGCAAACTCAGTGACTGGCCCCAGGTATGGAAGTGTTTTCTGTTCTTTGCTCATTTAGGAAAGCATCCTCTCTTCACAGTTTCGTTCTTCTGGATCTTTGTGTACCCATAGCTCTTGGATGGCTCTAAAGGAAAGGGTCATTGTCTTGGTTTATCGTGGGACTTCCGGTTTGGGCAGGAGTAAAGGTCTCAGACATACTTTTACATCCTAACTAGAAATAGGACTCACCAATTCATCAGAAAGACATGTTTTGCCAATTTCCTTTGTGGTTTTCTTTTTGACGCTTTATCTATTTATAGGAGTATATTTACAATTTTCCAAATGTAAGGGTGGTTTTATTGGTTGTTGTCGTTTTTTATTTCTAATTTTATTGTCTTGCAGTCTTTTGATGTAAGTTCTTTGTTATTTGTTGACACTTTATGGCTAATGGTCAATTCTGGTCAATTTTGTACATGTACAATTAAGAAGGTGAGTTCTTGAGATAAATGCTTATTCTCTTATTGTAAAATCTGACCAGAATTTTATCAAATTCTCCTTAAAGTTGGAAAGTGTTCCATATGCACTTGGAAAGGATGCGTATTCTAAAATTACTGGGTTCAGCACTCTGTGAGTGCCATTAGTGGAGGAGAGAGATGTGTTCCAATGCATACCTTAATTAATATGTGCTTTGCTTATCCTGCTTGCTTTAGAGAGATGTAAAATCTCCCACTACCATTATGAATGACTCCTTGTAATTCCCTCAATTTATGCTTCAAACATTTTCATGCTATACTAAGTATTTACAGTTTTTAATGTATTTCTGGTTGTGACTAGTATGATTATTGAGTGACCCTCTTTAGCCTTAACAATGCATTTTGCCTTTTACTATAACTTAGTTTGTATAGTAAACTAAGTAAACTATGCCTTGCCATAACTTAGTTTGTGAAGAATATTGCTATACCAGTTATCCTTTGGTTTGAATTTTGCTGGTATACCATTTTTAATAACTTTATTTTTAATCTGTTATTATGTAAATTGTTTTTTATTTCTCATGTCTTTGTTTTATTTACTCCCTCCTTTTTTTGACTTCTATTTGATTTCATTTTCTTTATTCTAATCTCCTCCGACTTTCCCCTTTAGTAGAGACATTCTATTTTTATATCTTTCGGATAACTTTTCTTTAAATTTCTCCAGACATTTTCTGATCCAAACTGTGATGAAACAAAATGACAAGTAAGCCAATGAGTATTTTAAGCATTTCTTCTATCTGGAGAGGAATAACAAAATGGTGGTTGTTGAAATATTAGTTTAATACAACTTATCTTAAAGTTAATGTGATTAATAATCATTTCCAAGCCATATACTTCAACAAAAGTGGGTAAATGAATAAAAACTGCATTGAATTTATATTAACTAAAACGTTTATATTTACATGTGTTAGAACAAGTTCGTTTTCTATGTCATAAAGATGATCAAATTTTATGTTCTATATTAAAAAGTAAAAAGCAATAGCAATAGAAATATGCAAATAGTAAGGTTGTCTCTAAATTTAATTTTGTGCTTATTAGACACTTCTAAATAAGCATCCCTATTAAAAAGTAATATTATTCATAAGGCTTTTTCAGAAAACAGGCAGTTCTCTAAGTGAGACGGGATGACATGGTTAAAGTGGAAGGAAAAAGAAACTTCGAAGAAAAAAGGCAAAACATTAGGTCAGAATAACTTTTCAAGACATGTCTTTGAAAGGGGTCAGGTATTTTCGGATCTGACATAAAGCAGATTGGTTCTCCCGAGAGGCATCTTTCTCTACTTCTGCTCCATGTCAATGTGCAACAGGTATATAATCACAAAGGAAAGTACCCTGTGGGTAGACTACTTCAAACAAAGCACTGAATCTAGGATATCCTTGGTTATTTCGCTACCACAGTCATTTCTAGCTAAAAGATATTCAAAGAGTTTAATAAATCCAAGTAGCCCAATGGTAGTTTTTTTATTTAAAGCCCTAACTCAATATAAATGGAGTAATAAAAGGTACTGATACATAAATACTGTCTTTTTAAGATTCAGCCATAATTTTTCCAGTAGCTCACTGCAATATACCCACAACTTGGCTGTCATTAGTTTTAGCACTGTCTCAAAAATAACCTACAATAAAAATATCCTAAGAAATAAACTGAACGCATGGGAAATTCATTAAGCAGAGTTTATTTGTATGTATTGGAATTGCTCCAGTAAGTTGGCCTTGAGATGATTACTCAAGAGTGTGGCTTACTTCCTTTGTAAAAAGGCTATGGTGAAAGTTCATTGTGGGGAACCAGAGCGAATGTCTGCAGACAAAGTGGGTTCTACACCCCCTGGCAGGCCTGAGAAGCCTGGTTTCTGGGACACATATTCTTACTTCACCCATCATTTGGGATGAGAAAAAGGAAGAGCCAGAAGCTAGAAAGAGGGAGATGAGCCAGCATCCTGATGGATCCATCGGATAGAGAGGAATATGAAGATTTCTCTATTTATGTTTTTAAACTATGAAAACATGGCTGAGATTACAATACAGTTTTGTTTTTTCATTATCTCACAGCTTTCTTTCAGAAAGAAAACAACAAACGCTCACTTGAATTATGTTGGATTTCATTACTGCTTTAATTTCTATTGCTCTCCCTTGCCTCCATCAATGGCCTATTTCCTTGGCCCTAAGTTTCCACTTCCTCAGCTTCAATATTGAATGTTTTCCAGGGACCAGGTGTCTTTGCCTGTCTCTTCCCCCAGTGAAGAACAGTTAAGGTGCTCTGTGCAGATAAGTCCTCACACAGGCTCTGTCCCCTGAGGGGCGGGTCCCACACAGGCTCTGTCCCCTGAGCCCAAGTACTCACACAGGCTTCCTGCTGCAGGTGCTGAAGGGCCCTCTTGGCCGGGATGAGGAAGTCAGTGAGGCAGCGCAGCCCATCCCCTCCGTGGAGCCTCTCAGCCACGCTGAACACCTGCCAGAGCACTGTGGCCGCCGTGGCCTCAAATGGTGGGTAGAGGGCAGAGAGTGTGTTCTGGATGTAGGTGTCGAGGGACTCCAGATCCTGAAACGGAAGAGAGGGTCCTGAAATGGAATAAAGACATGTGCATGGACACTTTCACAGGCTGCCACTTAAGGGTCCCTGAATTGCATTTGTGGAAGAGAAAAGGTAAACATGCATCTTCCGCATAGAGGGGCGTTCCCGTTGGGGAGCACCTGCTTGTCCTTCACATTGTCACACAGCAGCAGCACACTGAGGAAGTTCCCACAGCTGCGGCAGGCACACCTGAGGCCTCTGCCCACTGGGGCAGCCCTCAGTAACAAGAGAGGGAGGGTTGTCATTGGCATCACACCAGGCACAACCAGGTTTCGATTTGGCAGGAGTTCCGCCCCATCAGATTCTGAAATATACACCTTAAATGCTACATTTTAGGATCTTCCAGGGAGCATGTGCAATTTCTCAGGGGTCTTCCCCTGCCCTGGCTCCCCTTCCTGGGCACTCCTGGGTCCGCACATGGAATGGGGAGGGGGGCGCTGTAGGGAGACCAGGGTTGGTCCACATGCCATTTTATGTTCAGAAATAAGTTCGTTCACAGCAAATATTTTAACTCTATGTTTTAAAAATTTAAATAGAAACCATTGTCAAAAATCACAGAATTGTGCTCTTTCAGTCATTTTGAAAACACTATCACTGGTACTTGAACTCCCTTTACATGTTTGGTGCAACATGCTTTTATATAAAGATGGAATGCTTTTATTTTTTAAAAAAAACCCGGTTTAATGTTATTTTTAGATGTAACATTTCCTGAGGAAATACCACAACATTCATTTGTTTGGAAAATAAATGAAAGGCTGCAAATAACAGTCAAAAGCCACAGAGGTTAAATTGCCAAGTGGACTTTTAAAGGGCAAATGTTACATCTGAGACTCCTCTGACTAGCTTATCATACAGATAATTTCCTAAGAAAACTGACAATAAAGCAGTGACATCTCCAGGCCTGAGGTGGACAGGACTCAGAGGGAGTCTGTCTGTACTATCTGAGGGGCCCAGCCCAACAGATACCTGGCAGGTGTGGGCTGCGGTGTCAAGTTCAACTCCCAGAAACCATGTGATGTGAGGCAGACCTGAGCCAGCTCAGCTCCCGCCAGGGCAGGCACCCTCTGGAGCGTCCACACCCCACACAAGTCTTGCTATGCCTAGTCCTCCCCTGTCAAAGCGAATTATCTAAATACTGATTTTGTCCAGAAAATGCCAAGGTGGTCTTATGTCCAAAAACTCAAATCATACCTGAGTCAGAAGCAAACATCCAGATCATGGGAATAAAGGGAGCTCGCTCTGAGTCAGGGGCAAGAATAACCCTCCGGGAGCTGCGCAGCTCCTCACAGAAATTTGAAGCAAATGCTAATGTGATAAAAGAGACAGCTAGGAAGGAAGTGGAATGTGGTCCTAGGGGACTCGTCTTTACTGGCCTATGTTGGAGAAACTGAAATGCAAACGTTGGACCCTCTCAGGGAGAGAGGTCTTCCTGTGGCTCAGATGACCTAATCCTGGCCCATTCCTCCCCCAGACCCTTAGGGAAAGTCCTGACTCCTCATGTCCAGCTGCGGTCAGCGGCCTCCTGAGGGGAGGGTCTCCTGGCCTCCACCTCCCCAGTTCATCTTCTGAAAATGGCTGAATATTGAATGAGAAGAATTGATGCTCACCGAGATCCTAGAGACAGCCCCAGTCACTCACAGGGCAGCCACAGCCTCCCTGGCGCCTTCTCTCCTCTTTGATTTCAACTGTGACTGGGTTAGGCCCCCACACTTGGCGCCCCTCCTCTGGTCCCAACTCCCTGCGCAGCCTTCCCCACTCAGAGCCTGGTTCTGGCGAAAGCCACCCAAGGGAAGTTGTCTGCCGTCCAAGAGGCCATTTCCCAGGTCAAGTAAGTTGAGTAAGCCCTTGGGTAAACCAAAGTGAAACAACTTCTCCACCTCCTTTAAAAATAAAAAAATTCAATTATGGTTGACATACAATATTGTATCAGTTTCAAGTGTATATTAATGGTTAGACATTTATATTACTTATGAAATGATCGATCACCCAGTAAGTCTAGTACCCATCTGACATCAACATAGTTATTACAATATTATTGACTATATTCCCTATGCTGTACTTTATAGTCCTATGACTGTTTTGTTTTTAATCCTTACCTGAATATATGTGTACTGACTTTAGAGAGAGGAAGAGAGCGGAGAGAGATGTGAGAGAGGAGCATCGTCTGGTTGCCACCTGTATGCACCGTGACCAGGAACTGCCTGCAACCTAGGTATGTGCCCTGACCAGGAATCAAACCTGGAACCTTTTTTTGGTGTATGGGACAATGCTCCAACCAACTGGGCAACCTGGCCAGGGCCTGCTGCTTTTATAACTGGTAATTTGTGCTTCTTAATCCCTTCACCTTTTTCACCGGTGTCCCCAAATACCCTCCCATCTCGTGACCATCAATAGTTCTCTGCATCTATGAGTTTGTTTCTATTTTGTTTGTTGTTTATTTTATTAGATTCCACATATAAGTGAGATCATATGGTATTTGTCTGATATATTTTATAGCATAATACCCGCTAGGTCCCTCATTGTTGTCACAAAGAGCAAGATTTCATTCTTTACCATAGCTGAGTAATATTCCATTGTGTATATGTACCACACCTTTTATCTAATCGTCTGTTGATGGGCACTTAGTTTGCTTCCGTATCTTAACTGTTGTAAATATGCTGAGATGCACATAGGGGTACATACATCTTTTCAAATGAAAGTTTTGATTTTCTTCAGATAAATACCCAGATGTGGAATTGTGGGTCATGTTCTATTTTTAGTTTTTTGAGGAATCTCCCTACTGCTTTCCACAGTGGCTGCACTGGTCTTCATTCCCACCAACAGTGCACTAGGGTTCCCCTTTCTCCACATCCTCGCCGGCACTTGCTGTTTGTTGATTTTTTGATGACAGCCATTCTCACAGGTGTGAGGTGATGCCTCATGGTGATCTTCTCCAGCCTCATATGCTAATGCACCCTAACTGACAAGAGAGGGCTGTGACCAAACTGCCTGTCACTCACCTCACTGGGTGCTTTACAATGAAGGAGAGAGAAAGATGCCATGTCGTGCTCGGGACCACTGCTGCAGGAGCTCCTCAACCATTTTATAGACAGTGATTGTTCTTGGTCTTGGGAAGAGAGGTTCTAACGAATAAGCTAGGTTGTGTGACCAGCCAGGTTAGGGCTGTCCTAGGCTGGAGCACTGTGTGCGTGTGGCTGCAACAGGCCAACCATTCCCACTTGTGCACAACTTTGACAATATAGTTTTTCAGGAAACATGAATTATGAGCCGGGGAGACAAATACACAGGAGCCTGAGAGAGGAGAGGCAGAAACTCATAAATTACACCAAAATCAAGTTAGCTTGAATATGTTCAAGGCAGCTTAAGAAAACAGGAAAATATACAGTATATTTTAGAAAGATTCCCACAATAAATGCTTTAAAAGACAACATTGTCTTGGTATCTTAAAGGGTCAAGTTTAGCCAACTGGAACATTTACTCTGCTTAGCATTTTCTTCCCTCATGTTTGCTGGGCCAAATGTGTGTGTGTGTGCATATGCGTGCGCACACTGTTGTGTGTGAAAGGGCTGGTGTGTGTCGGTGTGTTGGGGACTACTGTGTGTGGGGGCAATGAGTGTGTGCGAAGGCGTGTGTGTGTGTGTGAGCCTGCTTGAATGGGAGGGCCAAGTGTGTATTCACAGGCTGGGTGTGCTAAGGGCCAGTGTTTGTGCACAAGGGTTCCCACAGGCGCGTGTGCGTGGGTAGAGAAGCGGTGAGCCAAGAGAAACACATGTTGACAAATTCTCAAAACAGTTTCCAGGCCTTCGGGTGCAGAGGAAATGAAGGAGGTAGACAGAGGGTCAGGGCGAATGCTGTGTGAGCACTTCTAACCACTTCAGCCTGGACTCGGTATGACAGAACTCAGCCATTTGCCAAAACCTCTCATACCATCAAAATGTCCAAAAATAAGAGGAGAGGAGACAGGCGAATGTTGATGACTTTGCTGACAGTAAAGTACTAATTTCTTTTCCTTATATACCTCAGGATTCCTGTTTCAACCAAACCCACACACATGGAGATAGGCTGACTCCAAAACGCAGAACATTTGCCTGTTGATCATAAATCTCATTGTGGCTTAGAATGGGATTATGTGCTACACATATGTTAGTGGAATGGCAGGTTCAGTAGTTAAATAAAAGCTTTTAATCACCTTGTTGCTGAACTGTGAACTTGGTGTACTGTTATTTGGCCAACTGCGGGACTGCCTTGCATTTTAACAGGAAGGTCAGGTCTGCAAAGACATTTTAAAGCTTCACTCTTGAACAAAAGGTTATTTTCCCTGTTAATTTTATATAAAATTTTATTGAAATGGGGGCGCTTTTTTGGTTCTCATCCCATCCCCACTCTCAGGGAATAAGGGTGCTTCTCCCATCACTGGGCCCTCAGGAGATGGCCATCTCGATGCGGCCCTGGGGGCCTCACATGTGCCAGAGATGAGAAGGCAGAGGCTGGGGGTCAGGAGGCCTGTTGGTGCCCTCCCATGGGGGGGCCGGTCCCTGGAGTTTGGGAAAGCCACTTCTTCCTCCAGGAAAGGCATGGGTTGGGGGGAGGGGCAAGTAACATGCTGGCCATCAAAGCAAAGGGAATTTCTTTTCATTTTGCGGATCATGTTGACCTATAGGAGGCCAGCTGAACTGGGCGAGGGAATAGCAGAGGCATCTGTCCAGGGCCTGGCAGGCTGGAGAGACATGGCTGAGGCTCTCCCAGCAAGGAATGCCCATCAATGCTCAAGTTTTAATTCAAGCACAACATCCCTAAGGGCAAGTGAAGGTATAAATCCAGGATGGAGCCCAGGGCTTTGGGAGTGGCTGTCAGTAGCTGAGCCTAGACATTAGGACCCCTTACCTCTGCTGAGAAGGTCTGCAGTGGCTTACTGAGGGGGCCACTCCGCTCCCCACAGAAGGGCACCCTAAGATGACAGACGGCAG